CACAAAGCAGAAGAATTATTTTACAAAGCTGCATAAGAGAGCCAGCAATCAGGCTATGAACTGGAAGTGATATCCTTTTCTCTGCTTCGTTATAAATCCACCTCTGTGAGAACAGCAGGAGCCTGACTCCTGACAAAAATCACTCAACCAATCTCTAATAACTAGTCATTTATGTCAAACTATGAAACACACGTAACACAGTGCAGTGTCCTGATTGGTTAGCGCTTACGTATCAATCCACTGCTGCAGGGTGTCCCGGAGCTGCTCTCTCTGGATCGGCTGAGCCAGGGTGCGAAGGGCGGGCTGGAACTCAGTGAGGGAGGGAGGCAGGTACTTGAACCAGCTGCCTGTACTCGTCTCTTCCTGCAACACCCTCCTGCCTTTAGCTACGGGGAGAGATGGATTGATGGGCTCACGTTTTTCTTCATCTCTGGATTTTTATGCTTCAGTAAACACACACTGTCTGTTAACTCTGATTTTCATACTTTCCACTTCCAGTGCATTTGAAGACATACTGTATTTAAACTCCTGTAATGCAATTGGTGCATAAAAACACTCCTCTTCTTCTACAGTCATAATTCAATTCAATTTCTTCAGTATTAACAGTGCAACATGGTTCTCACCCCTCTAGAACAATAGAGAAATAAAACTTATTCAATTTGCTAGATAAAAAACAAAACTGACCCCAAACATGTATAGTACAACTGATATGCCTAATAATGGCACGTCTCAGTAGCCTACTATATTCTAAATATAACAGGCTAAGACATGAAGTGCCTAATCCAAAAGCCTGTTAAGGGAGTGGAAACACAGCTCAAACAGCTTACGGGTTATAGGGAAAAATAAAAGATCATTTCTGTCTAAGACCTGTTTAAATAGCTCTCAGTAAGGAAACAGTAAAGGCAGCCTGATCTCCGGGACATCCCAGCTGTTTACCTGCAGGTGCGGTGGAGGTGACGTTCTCCAGGATAGAGAAGAGCATACCACAACTCAGAGCTCCCTCCCCCGGCCTAGGGCCTCCCTCTGGGGGCAGGTAGAAGACGGCATAGGCCTGGAACAGAGTGGTGACCAGCAGCTCCACCAGGCTGCACACCTGGGCCTTGATCCCTGCACCTGGACCAAATACGCATGTTTTTGTCAACTTTTCTGATGGGTCATTGTTGCTTCACTTCCAAAATAAGGATACTGCAAACAACACGTCCTGCTCTGCTTTACAGCAAAAGCCTTCAAGCAACATTTCTTGCTTCATGACTTTTGCATAAAAATATTATTATGGCGCATTTTAAAGTGCGTACAAAGAGGATAGTCTAGACCTGCTCTTTATTTGAAGTGCAAAGAGATAATTTAGCTGGATTTGAACTGAACACATGTTGACTTTGGTAGAATACCATGCTGTGGTTGGTTGAGCAGCTGGTGGATGGAGGCCTTGCGGGCCAGCAAGAAGTCGGCCAGGGCCTGACGTGGTGAGCTGTCCTCCAGGAGCATGGTGGACACCAGGGCCTCAGCAATGGCCTGGTCCGACACCGCACGGCCCAGCAGGAGAGACCTGCTGTCCAGGAGAATGGTGGATCTGCAAGAAGACAGACTAGTTACTTTGCTTGCTTACTGGATCTAGTTCTGTCTGCTGCAAGTGGATCCATTTCTTTTGGGTCTGAGGCCTAGGGTTTCTCTATTAGAATCACTACCCCCCAAGCAGAACTTTCATTAGATGACATTATGTCTCCCCAAAGACACAAGTAAGAAAAACCGAGTACCTGAAGTGTCCGGTGGTGGCTACCTGCCGTACCAGGATGGGGAAGCGGGCCAAGATGGGGCTGTAGTGGCCCCCTGTAGCGGCATCCAGCTGCAGCAGACTGTGCAGGTGGCAGCAGAGTAGGTAGAGCTGGGTGGCCTGGAGGTACTGGGATGCCTCCATGGCGCTCCAAATGCGCTCAGGGATCTCCAAGAGGAGCTTGATCTGAGAGGCCATGGTGTAGAACTTCTCCTGCCACTGCCTCTGGCTCTGCAGCAGACACACACTGCATAGTTACGTACAAGTCCAAAAAGACTTCAGGTAACATGTGTAGGGAGAGGGAGAAGCTCAAACACAAGAGGATGTGGTGACAATGTGGTGGTGTACACGAACATTAGGAGGTGTGAGATGTGTGCTCATTTCGGGTCATCATGTGAGAGTAAAGAATCCTCTATAAAGCTGACTGTGGTTTAAACTTAGTGCATTCCACTGTCTATATTAAGGAGGTATGTCCTCAAATTTCATTAAAGATAATGTTATTTAACGGAGCTCATCCGGCTCTGACGCAGGTTCAACACCTGTAGTCAGGTGAGCAGCCCACCTCCTGTCTGCAGCTGCTCGCGCTGGGCTTGCCCTGCTTCAGCCTGAGGCAGTACTGGTGCATGTCCTGGATGGACTGGACGACGCTCTCCGAGCACTGCCTCATCTCTCCGATGGTGTCCGCGGCGTCGATCAGGTCCCGGTACCGCTCCCCCACCATCTGCCTCAGCTCCTCCTTCTTTTGCTCGATCTCCCCGCGGACTTTGCGTTCGATCCGGCGGATCTCCTCGGTGTTGTAGCGCTCGAAGAGTACCGCCGGGTCCTTGATCTCCGAGACCCGGAGAGCCAGCGCAGGGTCCTCGGCCATCGCGCCTCCAAAACAACTTCGGATGCTATAGGACCTCCAACCCGGAAGACCTGCAGTACTCCACTTCCTGCCTCCACGTAAGCAAAAATGTGACGACAACCGAGTATGATGTGCTTATTGGCCATCAGAGCTGTCTGTCAGAGAAGATGCGGCGTTGGGTTAGGTGCCGCCTACCCACTCCCCTAGCCAATCAAATCATCCCAATGTACATCATGAGAAAACCTGCTGAAACACTGAGTTAACTGAATTACAATGAATTCATTAATCATTGAGGTGCCACAGTCACATTTAAAGAGGTTACCTCCCCAAACAAAGACTCAAAAGAGGAGGGAAGACTAAATCATGGCGGCATGTGTGCTGACTCAGCAGGGATGATATTCCATGAGAGAAGTTGATCTACAGGAGGAACAGATCTGAAAGCAGCACAGAATGCCTGAGAGTTTTAGAATGCTCACCTTCTACCTGAAAGTTTCCCTTTACATAAATAAATCTCCACCATATTTTGATGCAGAAAAAGCAGAAACTGGTGCAGAAAAAATCTGCAGAATGCTCAGGATTTTCTGGGAGAGGATGCACCACCCCTGCTCAATATATGTAACAAAACCTACACATCACAAAAAACATTTTCACTGCATTTTCTTGAGTTGACATATTTCATGGCATATAAAACACTCTCCTTTGAATAAGAGATTTTGATTGATATGGTTACTCCACAAAAATGATATACACTAGTAAAAAGTTCAGAATTCATTCAGAAATCCAGAATCTATGATGTCTCGTACCTCAGGGAAAAGTCTGTGACCTGAGGCTTCAAGCTTCCACATCACACTAAGCTGTACACTGAACCATGATTGGCTCCCAGCTAGCTGTGATGTCATAAAACCCCGCTGGCCGACAGCAGATCATGAATACAGTCAGCTCAAACATCACAGCAAGTTGGACATTCTACCCGAAATGTACATTATCTGTCCTGGAGTTGTTACAGTACATAAAACTTGCATAATCCAAAAATGTCTAAACACTGACTGGATGGTTGATTTCTGTGAGTTGTTCTTTAAAGGAATATGTTATTCATTAGGGTCTCAGATATTTTTTTATTTATTAAAAATACTTTTGAAAACTACAAATCCTGAAAATTGGACTGTCCTCACAGCTCCATCTTTCATAGTTTTGTTTTGATAAAAACTGTAAAACACAGGGCCTGACCGCCTTGTGACACGACCTGACAAATGAATGACATTGTTCCTTTCATTACCTTTCTGATAAATAACATGTATTTAATGCGTGCCATAGTAAAACATTATTTGAATAAATAGACATTACACTATAAATTTGAAGCTTTTTATGCTCATAGACAAATGTTTTGAATTATATTTAGTCCAGAATACAAGAGCCAGGACACTTACAGGACAACTTTGACCCACATACTTTACTTTGGCTTAGTGTTATAACTTGTTAGTTTAGATTGACAAAACAATCTCACCTCAACGTAGCTGTTATAATACTTTTAATATCTAGCTGGTAAAGCCTACAGTATTTGTTGATGAAGAGCATGTGAAATGATTGAAAGCACAGTGGATCTTGTGGTAAACAACTGTTTTGTTAACTGAATAACTTCTAAATCTATTGAATTGAAAATATGTTTGGTCTCAGTTGTTGTCATTATTATATGTCACTGGCTGAACATAACTTAATTAGTCTAATGTTACATTAACATTAAAATCACGATAAGAAATTAAAATAGGAATGTTTACCAATACTTAATTAAAGATTCTTTCAAAGAACAAAAAAAGGCACTGATTTACATAAATGGTAAGTGGTTATATAATCTGTGCTAGAATAAATAAATAAGATGTGATATAGTGATATATTATTATAATATATTACACAATATATGTCACATAATGTTTTGTGCCCCCACTAAGTTATCAAACGGGCCATTTCCTGTGTTTTTGGCTGTATTAAAGGGGGACTAAAGGGCAGAGTAACCATCTGGCATGTTTTTTTTTGTGGTTTGGGGCAACTTAGCAGGCTGTGTGTAGATAAAGTAGGTGTTATTTACAGGTTTTGATTCAGTTTTTTCTGGCACTTGTGTATTGAGTAGCATTCACATTAAATGACAGCTCATTATACAACCCTGTGTAAAGTCAGTCCAAATTATGTGAAGGTAAATCAGAATTTTGACTTACTATGAGTATATATTTTTTTTAATCCATAACTTCTCATCTGTTTATTTCTTTACCTGGTGGAAATGGTCTTCCATACAAAGTTACAGAACAGGAACATGTCACCTGTCAGCAGGTACAAGAACACACTTTTTCTAGAAGGTTATATTCGTTCCTCTCCATCAGTCTGCGTTCGTCCTATGAAAACAGAGGTGGGATCATGACACAGGAGTAGGCTGTTTGATTTACATGCACACAGGTAGGATCCATCCAGCGCGTCACTGGAACCAGGTGCGTCAGGTAGACTTTCGTACCCGGAAGGAAATAGACTAAAAACAAGCGACTCTTTAAAGGTAAGTTACCTGCAGTTCCGAACAACGTTAAATTAAAACACTACAGTTTTAAACATAGCGTTTTGGATTGTTGTGTGTTAAAATGTTAATTCTTTTGTCACATTTGGAACACTTGTGCGTGAACGAAGGCCGATACTATGATGTAATGATTTCGCCTAGCAGCCAACACAAAAGGAAGTGCGTTGAGTTATCTGGCGAATAGCAAGATCCAGAAAATATGTGTTTGTGAAGGCAGAGTCATGGGGAGCAACCTGCAGGAGCAGTTCAGCGACCAGTTCAACGATGTGGTTTCCAGACTGCAGTCCAAGCAGTTGTTCCAGTCTGACTGGGACATCGCCTCTTTTGCAGTCTTCTTCATCTTCATCGGTGAGTAAAGTGGAAGGAAATTCTGTAATGAATAACTTCTAAGCATCAGGGCTCAGATTCATAAACCTTTTTTTTTAATGAAGACAGATGCAAAGCAGAGCGTTTAGATTTTAAGATTCCCCACAACCTCTTCAGCCTCAGTACAAATCGTGGATGGTCTGGAGGAATCCAAATGAGAATCCTTTCAATCCAAAATATTTTCATACAGAGATCATACAGATTTTATTTACATGAAGGTGAAGTCGGTGTTCACCAGAACAATATTCTGTATTTCCTGTGGTCCACAAGACAAACAAAGACATTACAGACAGTTCACATTACTGTCTCAAAATGTCCCCTCTTTGTCTTTGTCACTGGATGCATGTCTTTCTTTGAGACATTCCTCCAGTGACCCAGCGGGGGGTGTCAGATATCTGCTGCAGCTGACTGAATGGTATTCATCAAATCTCCTAAAAGAGTTTCACAAAAAGTCCTGATTCACGTTTCACACAGCACCACAGAATAACACTCATGGAAAATATGAATAAAGGACTCCTATACTAAAGACAAATGTCTCCTACTGTAGAACTGCCCGTTTGGCCACAACATTTCATCTAGCTCACATGTGATAGGTGGCCTTACAGTACACAAAACAACCCTCCACTAAATGTCTGTGCTGTGATGTCCACATGGGCAGCATGGAGGCCCTGTCGTCCTCCCTATGTCTCTGCCTTTGTGTCCACCTCCCCCTCTGACCAAACCCTCACATGCAGTCTACTTTCACATGTTCCTTCTGTATGAGCATCCTTCCAGCTCCATAACTGCATCACTGATTATGCCGTAAGCAACAGAGGAAAACTGTAACATCAGCCTGCACAGATGTTATTTTAATAATCCTCATGTCCCACTTTGTACCAAAAGGTAACAAAGTATTAATGTTATTTGGAAGCATTGATTTAAAGCAGGGGGCAGACAGCAGGGCTGTTGTAACCTTTGCGACTATATTGGATGGTTTTCAAGTCAAGCCAGCACTGCAGCATGTGGTCACTACTGTAGAGTCACTGTTTTACAACATGTTGCACTTTCTAGGAAATGGAAATGTTTTTTCCTCATGGACTTATTTCTTAAAATGTTTCCATTGCAAAAAAATGGAATACCATTATACCTTTAAATAGCATTATGAGACCCTGCATCATTATTTACCAATTTTAAAAAGGGCTGGGCAATATGTAAAAATGATTTTTGCTCCTGAGTGAAAGTTGAAGAAACCAGACACAATAAAGCTCTAAACTCTGTGTGCTCTCTCACTGTTGTCAGGTATGGTTCTGCTGCTGGTCATCCTGGTCCTCATCCGCTGTTGCTGCTGCTGCTGCTGTGATGATGAGAAGGTAAACACGCATACAGGAGAGAACTGAAGGGACACACACACCGCTGTTGTAGTGAGGACGGGAAAGCTGAACACTCAGAGCTCGGATGCCGTCTCCTATTTCAAGTTCTAAAGGCTGATGTTTGGGCACACTGCCTTCTTCAGAATGAAAACCAACAGTCACCTGACTGACATTTAGACTATTCTAACTAGGACAGGTGTTTCAAATCAGAGATCTGTATCACTCCCTATTTACTCTCTCCCATTTTATTTGTATATCTCTATTCTGAGTGTCCACTATATAGTGCCTCAATGGAGAAAAAGTAGTGTCACTACTGTTTGCTAACAATGCCCCAATGTGTTGTATTTTTATGGATTGAGTTTGAAGAAACGGCCCAGTGTTTAACAGAGGGTGTGATTTCAGACGCAGCCATAAAGAGACCATTCATAACCAAGGAAACGTGTCCACAGATCATAGAACCAACCAGCCAAAGTAGGGAAATACAAGGGAGTTTATTCAATTAGGTAGTGAGTCCACAAAATACAAATCTGTATCTGAGCTCAACATACAGTGTTTAAATGGAAAGTTTGACATTCTTGGGAAATACTTTATTCACTTTCTTGATGAGGGCTAGTTGAGAAGATAATACCACTCGTGTGGTAAGTTTAGTATAAAGACAGAGGGAAAACCACTAGCCTGGCTCTGAATCCACGTCCTTACCACACTGGCAAGTCAACCTCATTCCCTATGTAGCAAAGACAGTACCATTCCGACACGTATTCCTGCCATTCTCGGTGCAGACATGTAACCACCTTAGAGAAAACCAAGTGATCCTGTTATGTAGTGAAATGACCTGAAACTGAGCGGAGGTCATTTAGGACTGTGTTCTGCTAACACCGGCAGTGTCATATCAAAGAAAATGATCCCTTTATGCTTCATCCACAGCCTCGGAGACAGAAGGTCGGCATAGAGAACATGGCTCTGGAGCCCTGACAGCTGAACTGCACTGATCCACGTACAGTGAAGGATGATGAAGCTAGACACAGAGCCTTATAGTTTCACCCCTGTGCCAAAGCAGAAATTTTAATTTTACTTGTCTGTAAACAACACATGCTCTTGTTCAAAAATCACTTCTATGGGGGCTTTATTGCTAGGATACCACAGAGCAGCTGGAAACACTGAGCGCCTCTGTAGATTAGAATGTCCCTTCTTCTTATTTTGTTTGTTGAAAGCATGTTAACATTTCAATGAGATGGTTTTACTTGGTAATAAATAAAAATAAAGTACTTAAAATGTAAGCTTGGCTCTGTTGATGTATTGGTGTATCCCATCTCATCATGCAGACACAAAAACATTTATGGAGGACAAAGTGCACCAGCTTATGAAGGCATAAATAATTAAACAGGAAATGAATGTTTTTGTGATGTTCTGAGGACAGCAGGAAGGTTTACAGGCCCCGTAAACTGCTGCCCTGCTCTCTGTGGGCTAAAAACAGCTCAGTCACTGCTTTTATCATTAATCTTTCACTCTTGTGAAACCCAGAGTAGCATTTGTTTCTGAATGAATATTACTGAGGATTTCCGCAACAAAATCCCTCCTTTGACACATCATCAGCATGTTTCTGTGCAGAGAGCTCAGTGATATGCCAGTTCTTCTTGCAGTTGTTCTTCTTCTGTTTACTCAATTTGCATTTGATATTTGATAAATACAATCTATTATATATATTTTTGAAAGCATTCTTACTTTACAGCATTTTTTTTATAAAATGTGTAAAATATATAAATAAACTAACAATGTGATGAATGTATTTTTTATTTTTCAGGACTGAATTTTATTGAATATTATTTTGATTTCAAAAGAGCAAGGGAAACATGCAGCAGCGTGAACATTGTTAGACATTTTTATTTGCATATTGAAAGTATCCTGATTGTGACGAGTCAGCACAAGCTCTGATACAGCTCTGTACTGACATGTTGCTCCTTTAAAATGGCCTTTACCCAGAATTCCTGTCAAGACAGCTTTGTGCAACTGACGAATTTACACATGTAGTCTAATAGTTTTAACTCTGACGAGTAGTTTGCAGTAATTAAGTACATTTACTCAAGGACTTTACTGACTGACAGTTTTGAAGTACTTGTACTTCATGTATTTACTTAACTTTAGTATTTTAATTTGTCTACTCCACCACATTTCAGTGAAAAATATACTTTAACTGCCCATTTATTTTACAGCTCTAGTTACTCCAATAGTTACTCTGCACATTAAAATGTTAATTTAAAACATAGATACGATGCATAGTTATAGATTACATTTGTATATAATATAAAAAATTATGTAGTTAAAAGGATCTCTGCCTTGACTAGCTAGGTACAAGCATTTAATGCTGCTTACACATTTATCAATATTCACTATATAAAATAATAATAATAATACACTGCTCAAAGAAATTAAGAGAACACTCAAATCACACATCAGATCTTGATAAACGAAATAGTTGAAAGACCAAAATCTTTGCTGTGCGTTGTAAAATTCATTGAGAACAAAATGACGGTCAATAGAAACCAAAATCACCGACTGACTGAGGGCTGGAAAAATCTAAATCCCTGTAAAAAAAAATGAACTCACAGCAACTCATAATTTGACCCAGGAGTGTGTATGGCCCCCACATCTGCACGCTCCTGCTGAGACAGAGGATGGTGTCCTCCCAGACCTGGATGAAGGGATCAGTGAACTCCGGGACAGTCTGTGGCACAACTTGGTGGCGTCGGACTGATGGAGTCTGTCTTCTGACAGTTTGGTCAGAAACATGCACACCAGTAGCCTGCATGAGGTCATTTTGTAGGGCTCAGGCAGTGCTTATCTGTGCCTCCTCACACAAAGCAGAGAACAACTGTCTGTGGCCACCGCCTGCCAAACCATTCCTTTTTTGGAGTTTGTCTTGCTGTTGCCTCTCTAGTGCACCTGTTGTCACTTTCATTTGCACCAAACAGTTGACACTGATTCACAATCGCTTATGCTTCCTAACTGTAGGCTACAGATAGATATCCCTGAAGTTTAACTGACATGTCAAACTGTGATGATTAAGTGTTCCCTTTTTTTAGCAGTGTATATATTTACATCTATATTCATTCAGAGATTGGGAGAGAGAGGGATAACAATCTCTATCTAGATATACAATATATTTCAGTCACTGGGGAAATCTACTGAATAATGAGTATTAGTACTTCTAGTATATTTTGCTGATAATACTTCTGTACTAAGATTTTGAATGCAATGTAATGGAGTGCTTTTGGTCAAGTCAAGCCAGAGTAAAAGTCTGAGACAGATTATGGAGGTAAGCATTTTAAACTCCTTTACCATGTGAGAAATAAGACTTCTCTTCATTGGGAACAAGAGTGAGAATGCTTTAATGTCACGTCTGTGGGGAAAGTAAAGATAATTGGTAAAAAGAACCAAAAGAAGAGTAATGCTCCATATTTGTATAGCGCCTTTCTAGTCTTTTTGACCACTCAAAGCGCTTTTTCACATTCATACACGGAGCCTAAGTGCTCAAACAGAAACTAACATTCAGACACTGGTGGAACAGCCACCAGGAGCAATTCGGGGTTCAGCATCTTGCCCAAGGACACTTCGACTCGCAGCCTGGAGGAGCCGGGGATTGAACCGCCAACCTTTCGATTAACCCAATCAAAAGAAGAGATTTTGAACACACAAACTATAGTTTTAAATGAGACATCTTTATATCTAGCGTTACTGCAGCAGTCAGCAAATTTCCTCAGGGAGAGTTCAACATGGACAGCTTATCGTTTAGAATATTTTTATTGCACAGATATAAATAATTTCCACATTTTAGATTGACAAACAATTAACAAAATAGATTATACAATAACACTTAGTGAAGTCATTTGTTCATGATTGGATTAGTGTTTGGTTCACAGGGAATGTGCAAAAAGTGTCAAATAAATATAAACATGGACAAACACTTGAAATCAAAGATTACATCAAAAGACGAGACAAGTAGCTTATCATTTAGACATATGTGTAGTAACAAACAGGGAATGTGTTGTCATTTCCACCAAATGGGGCAATGAACGAAAACCAAACAAACAAAAACTGTCCCAGCTCCAACGTCCTCTAAACTCTAATTCCACGTTAATGTCATGTAAATTTTACCGTAATAATTACCTGCTTGTTCATGTCATAATTATGGCTGGGAACTCATTTTTGATGATGTATAATACAGCATAGCACACCCTAATCTGCCACCTTGAGTTGCATTGTTGGTAATGTATTAGGTGGAGAGGGATGAAGAATGTGTGGAATAAGAGACGATTTTTCTGGTTCTGTTGCTTCGACGGTGGCCCCTTCTTTTAAACTGCCCATCAGGAATCTGACAGTGTTACAGGAGTGCAGTGATAAATCACAGAGTACTCCTCTGAAGTGCACGAGTTCAGCACGGTGTGAGGTTTCCAAACGTGTGAGGAGTGGGACAGCACTTTGTGACATCACATTAATTGGATAAGGTGATCTTGGATGTTGTTTTGTTTTATTTACTTTTGTTTCGCACTTCCACTGTCATCTCACTGTTAACTGGCTTTTGTTAGACCCTCCTTCAGAGTAAATGCCAACTTCTTTCAAACTCCACACTTGCATTTTCTAACCCAAACCCAAATTAAGGGGGTTCCCAAACCTGCGTCGTTCAGTTCAGACTCGTTTTCCCTCTTGGTACGATCGATTTGCGCAGATCTAAACAAAGCAATTGTACTGGAGTGCGGACCAAAACAACCCCACCAGGACTGTTTAGAGGAAGTGGTCCAAGTCCAGACAGAAATTAATTCTGAAGCAGGTCGTTTGAAGTGGGAACGTGATCTGACCCATCTACAAGTTGTACTCTGCAAGGTTTAGCTAAACGTCTCCCGTACCAACATCACTCGTGAGATATTTTGTCAGACTTGACAAAGCAGCTCCAGGGCTACAGAAGACATAATACACTGGCTTAATAGTGCTAACCATGAATACAACATTGACTGTGACATGTAACGTTGGTGGAGGTGAGAAACAAAGTAGGGCAATATTGTGAGGGACTGCAAAAAAACTCACTGTGACCTCTTAGTGCTGCTTGGTCTTCCAACCTTTAGTGCACAAAGTAGTGTTCCAACAAAGACAGTTTAGAAGATAACTTTGGAACAAGAACCAGATAAATACTCAGTACGTACCGAGGTGCTTGAACATAAGAAAAAATAATTCTATAATAATTCAGCAACAATCACATTCATTCAGTCAGAGGTTCAAATCAGTGCTATGGGATGCAACATCAGAGAAAAGTCAGTCAGCTGGACTAACACAACTGGGAATGGCAAACAGTGATATCAGTCTCCTTGAACTAATCATGCAACACTGAATGACTGGATGATGCGTACACACAAAAAGAAAAGCCTTCCCAGGATGTCCCTTACACTGTGTGGTTATACTTGGGCCTGAGCGGTCTCTGGAAGATGGACAGGAGACGGACTAGAAAGGTCTGTAGTTCCAGAAACTGGAGAAGACAGATATCTGCGGGGATGGGAGGACAGAGGAGCTTAGTTAGTATACACAGTTACAATTATCTCCCAACCAACCGGTCACAGCTTCAATAAACCTGCCATGCACTGTATTTCAGGCCACCAGCCGCCTTCACACAGTCACTTAGTCAGTAGTAATTTACATGCGCTAACGTAACATCTGGCAAATAGGTCTGGCATCGGGCCAAATTTTTTTCAAGCCATTACATGGCGGGCCAGAACAAAGTCAAATTATTTAAAATCCTTGCACACTTATGTGCACGTTTAGCTCAGTCGGTATAGTGCGGGACTCTTGATAGGAAGGTTTTAAGATCAATTCCTCCTAACTGCAGATATTTTTTTCTCCCTTATTAAACAAACTGATTATAAGGACACTTCTGCACATGCTCACAATAAAGCATGTGCTGCAGTGTGTGTGTGCGTTCCAGTGTTTGATCCGCATTCTTAAACCTACCGACGCTTATTTTCATTTCAAGAGAATCCAATCACACGCTTACTGACGGCTTTTTCGGAGGTGTGTCAAGCAAGCCAAAGACTCTTTTGAATGTCGTTCAGAACTTTTCAAAGTAAAAGTTCTCAATAAACTTGTCATAGAGCATTGCTGCAAAAAATGTCCTCGCGCTTTTATTTTGGAAGCACAATTGCTTTAAAATGTGTGGTCACCTTCCACGAGAAACACCCACCTTGTCCTTGAGCTGCTGACAGAGCTGCAGGGAGATGGTGAAGAATACCAGCGT